AACCCCAATTAAATTCGATCGGGCAAAACTAGCGGATCGCCATGGTGCTGCTGCCGCCGCTGATACAGCGGCTGTGGCTTCCCGAGGCACGATGCCACGCCTCAGAAGCTATGCAATCCTCTGTGTATCGGGGGTAATCATGTCAGAAAAAATGATTCTACACCAACAACTATTGATGTTTCACGACATGGCATCGCGTTAGGTGCCGGCGATCGTTGCGTACTGCCAATAGCTACCGGCCGCCTATATATAAATGCTTTTCATCTTTGATGATCCCGTCCGCTAGGACGGACGATCCCAAGTCATAGAAGTTATGAAATGATGGGAGACGAAATGTACATATATTATTTTTCGTAACACCTTCTTAGATTTTATCGTGGTTCGTTCTATCTTCGGGCGGTAATTGCATCCATAGATATTGTGTATGGACGTTATATAGCTTATATGAAATAGAAAGACCTATCGGTAGATCAGTTCCTCGATCGAATGTTACCATGCCTAAGCAAGTCAATTAGGACTATTAGTCATGATAATACATTTTATTCATAAAGATATATCTGCATATGCGAAAAGATAATCCACTGATAAGAAGAGGGTGGGGATTGGAACTTCCTTTATAGGATAGATTCCTACAAGTCTTTGTCACTGACAACAAGTCTAGGTACTCTTTTTGATCCAACAAGATGGCGCTCCTTATCGAGTCGACAGCAATGGCCAAAGAGAGAACAAGTAGATCAAACTGTTCCAGCGCGCAAATCAATGGGCCGATTTTCAGGTACAATTACGCCTTCTGTTCACAGTCTCTGTATATGCTGCCGTGCTGATAGACACACCACTGTATTTCTGCTGGACATCCAAAAGAATCTCCGATTTTTTCTCCGTTGCTATGGAGTTTCCCCATCTTCTGTTTTTATTCTGTCCAAGTTGGAGTAAGACGTTCGATGGTGACGCTTCGGCGTGCGCTCGGCAGCCAAGTTTAAATGATCGACCGTCACGTTTTAAGCGGCATTTTGCCCGCGTAGTTGATGACCGTACGAGCTTGTCGCTGTGATAGCTGGCTATCCACTATCCCAATTAAGATTGCCGTCCTCTAGCGTACCAGTGGTGCATCAATGCTTTATTTTAGTAACTAAATGAATAAATAGAATATTTCATTTTTACACTGTGATGTACGGTAAATGAAACTTTTACTCTATACGTTCGTGATCTGATATCGCATCTGCTCGGTACGTTATATGGCTGGCGTATGAAGAAAGCGTCCAGACCCGGTGCGGAACCGGAGTATTGGATTCGCCACGGCCACTAAGATATTTTAAGCTATGGCACAGATTCGTGAGCCTTAACGGTGCTCAATACCGTTTCATTGCAGCGTGTAAAACGATTACATTTCTAATAATTCTATTAAAAGATCATTTTACTCAAGTACGGATTTGTTTTCTTTTTCACGGTTTTATATAAGGCGACCGTTAGTTTATACATTATACCCATCCGCATTTCACCTATTTTCATTTATGTTGAAGACAATATCAGCGGCAATGAAGAGCGTATTGTGATAACAGCATACGCCGTTCGATCGCGTCCATCTGTCGAATTAGTGCTCTATTCCTTAGTTTGTGTACAATAACAGATCATTCACAGTGCACCTAGATCTGTTCTAAATGAGGAATAGTAAGGGATACTCCTCCAGCGGCCAGCGGCCAGCGCCCTTCGTGCTAACAATGATCTTGTCGACATACGTGTGCTTGAACGTTGTTCTGCTCAGTATGGTTGCCTGAAAAGGCGTTTCTGTCTGTGACAGATACCGCCACAGGTGCCACTGTCCGGCTGACTGACCGATAACAGCTTACGGTCATGACGACGACGACGACAACAGAAAATAATGTAGAAATTATGAACAGACTGGGATTAATTTCCATTTGATCTGCTGGAATCATACAGATGCTTTTTTGTCGCTTGCGCTCCTATCATACCGTAGCAGCTGCTGACGCGGCGACAAAAACAACGAAATCTTCATGATACTACGGGATCTTGGGCAAGGTGAAGTAGCCAGTGCCAGTGCTAGTGCTGTCAATTACAAACTATGATATTACTGCTTGCTGTAGGATTTTCGAAGAGACATGGTGATGGAAAGAGGGGAAGCAGTTAATAGAGGTTAGCAGACCGATAGATGGATGGATGGGTAGACCCATTTTGTGCCATAAAGGTATATATATTTCCGTCTGAGCCTGTCCTGGTTATACAGCTTTACAGAAATTCACGCGTTTTTGTTACCAGTTTTAATTGAAAGAAAAAATCGGCAGACCTGTACACGGCAGTAAACGCTATTATCGTACTTAGATAGCGCTGGAAACTGTTTGGGCTTATCATGACGTATGTGTCGATGTATAGAGCCTGATTATTATGTCTCTCTATGTCTGTGTTCGTGTATAATATTTTGTTCATATAGATTTTTGTTTATTCTCTCGAGAGCAATTAAAACTTGGAAGAGCCTTTTTGAATGTCTTGATTTGCCTATCTCGTTTCTTAAAGCTGTGTGTGCAAACGAGGGCAGCATGCAGTCAAAGTATACAGGGTACTGCATCTTTGGATTGAACTGAACTGTTAATAAGCCGGCTCGAGCCGATCGACTATTGATTACGTTTAGCCTTATTTTGAAGAGTGGAACTCGAGACATGCGCCAAATGTTAACCTATTTTCTAATAGCTAATAGCGATAATAATATTTGTTTGTAATAGTGTTATATCGGTTGTTTAAGGGCGTATTTTCGGCACCTGTGAACGAGTATCAAGGCGCTTTTCTCAGCGCTAAGCTAAAGAGCCTAGATAGAGGCGTGGTTATGTGTGACAGAGCTTCTGCGAAACGCTAAGGATCATCAGTACAACGAAAGCTTACCGTGGAGGTATCAGCCATAACAAGCTACTACGCGGTAGGTCCACCGCGCCTTTTTTTCTATGGGCACCCAAAGAGCTTCTTTGAGTGCCTTCATTCACAAATTCCCTCTACATGCATTCAGTGTGACCCTTCCAAGCTCGTTTGTCCGACAGCAGGAGCCCCGCTTCCTACTCTGAAGATTCCTCCCAAAGGCACCGCCACCGCCTCTTGCGGTTCGATAATGATGTGGCATTGTAGCATTCTCATTAGAAGACGCAAGAAAGACACCCCGTTCCAAGCTGCACCTGGAAGGTTCAATGTCGATATTCTTCCGCTTTTGCACATGATCGTAATCATAGAGCTCCAGGAATCGACCAACAAATTTACGACGACTGCTGCTTGTTCTCTGCTGTCTTATAGGCCGATTTTACTTTGCTCGATTTACGTTAGCGGCAACGCGCTCACTGTAAGGACAATTCTATACGAAACGAAAGGCAGAATAGTTTGTAGCCGTTACTAACTACTAGGTAACAGAATAATGTATAGCAACGAAGCTATACTGTTACTAGAACAAAGCAACTATATATCCAGAGAAAGCTAGGTTATCTCAGCTTGGCCCGTAAACACTTTGTACTTTATTCAATATAAAATAATCGCTTGCGTCATTCCTTCAGCCAATCGCAGTTAATTCGTAAATGTTAACGGAGCTTGCTTACGTGTACGACAAACGAAGCCTGCGATGAGTGATACTTAACGCGGCGTCCATTGATCTTTTATTATGCATATTCTATCTTTTTCTATCATACAATTTTGGACACCGTTCATCACCTTTGTTTGCTGTGCTTGTGTAGTTCTCATCTGTACTGTTCCGGTATTTATCAGAGGAGAAGAAAAATGGGCCATAATATTTTGTTTCCGTCTCTGCTAGCCGTGACTCCCCAAATATTTTCTCGGCACTGACTGAAAAAACATCCACTGGCTCCAGGTAACTTTCAACTCGGACGGAATGGGCCGACACCTACAGTTCGAATTAACTTGTCCCAGTCGAGTAATACCACGAGTCGATTGAAAGGTGTGTTTATACCACCTGTGAATGACAAGCCTCATATTGAACATTATTATTATTGCATGTCATATTCATCGATAGATACTCAGAGTGATCACAAAGGAAGCAACAACTCAGCTTGTCTTGTCTTCACAAGCATTCACATTTGATGAAGCACTTTTACTTCTTTTGGAACTTACGAAACTCGTTTTTTTGGGAGGGCAACACTTCGACGAAAGTATAGGACAGAATATAGCATTTCTGACATAAATACTTTTAAGTAAATAACCATTATGATGAGGTTTCTGTTAGTCTGGCTAAGCACGAAAATTCTAATAACTGACGCACCAGCCTGAAATAGCAGCGTCGATTATCTATCCCGTTCAGGAGCTTGTCCTTGTTTCCGTCAGTCTTTGTTTTTCCGATGACGTAACGCTTCGAGATAAATTTATCGACATGATTAATATCTAATCAGGTTGTTGGACAGAAGTCAGTCGTCACAGAGAAGTGGCCTTACGTTGGGGGGAACGAATGAAATAATTATGTGGACGTCTTTAGTGCTGTGTCGGATACGATGAAGGAACGATAGTCTGCGTCGCAGGTAATATTTACCACATCCGCAAGCTACTCCGCAGGAATATGCCAATGCAGTAGGCTTAAGTCTCACTCCACAGTGGCCTGCGAGTGGCATTTTGAACGAGACGTGTTCAACAAGCAGCACCCGTTGTCATTCCTCGGCGAAGTTAAGGGAACTACTACTGTCCTGATAAGTGGTCCGCTATTTACAGTGTCCCGACAAGGTTAAGATGGTCCTTGTCCTAATACGAAGCATTCGACCTGCAAGATGGATATTTACTAGCTATTTTTGTTGTAACAGTTTACTTACTTGATTGACCGATCATCTGATATTGTCTGATGTTTATAGGGAAGATGATCTATAAACTAGACGCTGGTGTGTTTGTGGTTTCATTATAGAGAAAACTTTTATGGTAGGTTCTAAAAAATTTTACTTTATAAAAGGTGAAGTAAAACTGAAAGGTTCATCTCGGCTCGAGAAGCTATAAATTTCAATTTTGACTTCGGTTGTTTTCATTTTTTCCGTGACGAATATTCGAAAGAAATTATACGCAGCAGGTACTATCATCGGCCTACTCTTTGGCCACGTTTTGAGAAAATTGTTTGTATTTTTGTATACGAAAGATAATGAAATGGTAAAGAACAAATGGAGTAGCTTGAAGAGTGGACAGTTTTAACTTTCTTTAAATCGGAAAAACGAAATTCGGATGCCTGGTCTATCATAGTTACAAGTTGAAGGGGTCACAAAATTTTCTAGATTACAAATCGCTTATACGATAGCGTACGGCCAAACCAGACCTACTGTCCACCTCGTGGGCCGTATCCCTTGGATCGTATCATTCATTATAGCATTGTCACCTCAAGAAGCCCTAGTTTTGATCCGCCTGTACGTTTTTCAAGAGACTGTCTACGCGGTTTATAAAGTTGGCTATTTTCCACTTTTGACAAGTAGAAACACAGTGTTGGGTAATAAGACAATTATAAAGTATGTAGGTCACATCGCTGGTTACGTTATAAATATTGAATTCTCACAATGCAGTTCAACGGTTGCCAGGACACGGTAACACAAACGTTGTATGTCAATCTGTGGGTCGTTTTCTCTAGATATCGATAATCGCATGTCGACCACCTCTCATAAGCTTCTATTAAACGTTTAGAATAAAAAGAATCAGCACCAAAACCGTTTCGAGTTGTTTTTGTATCTGAACATGGAACATTTCATAGATTTACCTCCTTTGTTCGTACTAAGATTTGTTCACTGGCAATACCGTGTGTCATTATCATCATATCGCCGTAATCGGCCGATGCGCAGTTTGTGAAGCCTCGAAGTTGGGAGCAACATGCGACTCAACGGGTGAAGTTGTATTATAGTTCGATAGTTGGCTGCTCGTATGCACAATATTGTATATAATATTTCGCAAGTTATTCATATATCTATCGATCATAGGAATCTGTTACAGTGACACCGTCATTTCAATATGCGATTCTTCATTGATCTGCCGCTGGCGACCATTCCGAGAAGAGCGACATGGCCTTTGACTGGCGTGAAGAGCCTCAACAATAGGTACCGGGTCGGACAGCGGACGCTCTGCTCTGCCATACGTCATACGCGTATTTGGTCAGCGTCCAGTGATTCGTCTACGAATCTAGAAGTAGCAAAAAGTCGTGACGCGTCACCATTATTGCTAAGCGTCAACAATAATATTGCTACAAAAAGATGCTGTTCAAGTGTCGAGAGAATGGAAGTTCCGTTATCGTTACCTTTGTTACTGCTTCAATCTCGCTCTGACGTTAATAACGTCTTCAGTGTTGCGCACCGTACCTGAAAATAGCAGTGAATGCTAAACGCGTGAAGCTCGATAGCCAAGATTATCTATTGCAGATGAAGATCATAGTAATCAGCTGAGTCTAGTTAGTGTGCGCTATTTGCTAAAATCGAATATTCTATTATAATAAAAAATCTATTACATCTTATCTACGAAATGAATTCTGTACGTTCGAAGAGAAGTGTTCCAGCGGAATAAGTAAAAAAGTTGATATTATCGTGTGTGAACCGATGAGCCTCGTTAAATGTATAGTACCTAGATTCGGAGAAACTATGATGTACGCCAGATTTAGAGACAGGAAACTGGCAGTTTAAAATACAAACATAAAAGTGACACAAATATTGTGTTAGGAAGAACATCATACCTTACGTAACATCTCTATGTTTACGTATTTGCCTGCTAGAGCGGCAAAGAGCTAGGGATTGAGGGAAATTCGGTAACAGTAATTCGTCTGCATAAATAGTCCTGGAATTCTAGGAAAGGCTCGTTTCTACGAGTACACTCGCGTGATTCTCCTATAAACTGCCACGAGACCCCTGGAGAACCTTGATATTCTCTGTTCTCTATGGATACAATGGTATCCAATGAAACGACAACTTTTTCGAGTTCTAAATGGGGTGTGTACTACCTTTTCGATGTAGGCGACCCGTAATATGGTCCTAAATACACTGGTCTGCTATGCGGGTGGCCTCTCGCCAATGTGGGAACAAATAGATAGAAACGGGCTGCTCGATGGCGCGAGTGCGGCGTCAAAACTGCTCAGAATTGAACTGTGCGGAGGTCTTCTCATCCAGAGTTGTATTGTTGGGATTCACATACACGGTATACGCTGTGGTTTATCGAATTAGTGGCACAGTCGCAGATAATAGAAAGATTGCCTATAAGACCGTTAGAACAAGGGGCATTGATCCACTAAGGTGCCTATGAGGTTGATAAATAGCCAGATAGGCTGTATAGAGGAACAGATTGTTTGAAAAGACGTTTGAACTAACCGACATTGAGGCTGTTCAACTAAGCAATCCCGTGTTACTTGTAATCTACTGGGCCACAGAAAATAGGACATCAACAGACAGCGTTCTGCGCCGAGGAGAAATGACGGGACCAAAATTACAGCAGGTTTGTTCAAAACAACAAAAACTATCACTCAGTATCCTAGTATAAAACATGTACCAGGACACTCTACACTTCGTTACATGATCGTAAGTATAAATATAATATTAATTCATGCAAAAAATTGATATCGAGTTAGAAGACGCACGAAAGAAGCATGTCGAAGTCGTTAGGTGCACTTTCAATAGATACTAGCTTGAACAGGAACCCGGCCTATATCTTGCATGTTCTTTTTTGTTCCACTGTCAGCCAAGGCGGGTACAGTCAATGCAATTACTTGTTAAACTGGCTATGTTTTAGAAGATAAAGGCTGTGAAACAAAAAACGCTTCAACACAAAGTGATGCTCAGCCATGTTCAACCCGTTTTCATATATCTACACCATATTTCCTTAACGGAAGCCTAAACTATGCATGATATTTTCTTGCCGCCCATGTATTATTTCATTACGCACTTCTTTATTTTAATGCCCCTTTCATCTTCTTCGTTTTTGTGCGCCATCGCTTTTCATATGCTAACCCTGTGTTCTGCCTGATATGTGCACTCACTTGTGTCTAGACTGTATGCCACAGTAATAGGTTTAGCGAGGTCTATTTGATTTGCTCGACTCCATTGGAAGCTTTCGACAACATCGGAAACAACGAAGGGATGGTCGAAAGAGGATTTAGCCGAGAACGCGACCGTCTGTGTCGTCAAAAGGCCTGCCCTACTCTGTCCACACTAGCCGGAAGCCTCTGGCGTAAAGGCTGCTGACTGGCAGTTTTAGCGCTATGCGGTTATTTCGTCAAAGTAGGTAACCAGGTTCTTGCCTGGTCCGGCGAGATAGATGACGAGTTAGGTCGATCGCACAAACGATACCTGCTGGTTATACGCTACTTCTCTCCATATTAGTGTTGGCTGGATGGCTGTATCGCATCCTGTATAGTAAATTTGGCCTGACGAGACTCGTTGATCAAAGAGGGAGTCGAGAAGCATCAGCAGGAAATTATTTCTAGGATAAAAAGCTTTGCCGAAATTGTAGTTCATGACAGACAATTAGCTATGACGGAAACAGTCGGTTTCCGTAAACTCCTCACCATGTAAATGACATCCACCTAATTCACAACAAGGCCGATTTGACCCTGTGCTCAGAGCGGCCTCTGTGCTTTCCATACAACCACTGGATAGTGCCTAGCAAAATCGTTCTGGTCTTGTACACTCAATCGGACGTCGAGAAGGTAGAAACAGAATAAAATGAGCGTTACTTGGACAACCCGCTAGGTCACAACCTAATCAAATTGACAAACGACCATGAACTCGTGTGGTAATATCGGCGAAACTGGAGTTATAGCAGACGCTGAGTGCATGTACATCATGCACACTTTCACAAATGAAATACGCCTTTCATAACAATGTATACACTGAACAGTCGAGATGGAAAATACAGCTATAAAACTCATATAAACGATCGATGAGTAAACTGTATTTTAGGAATTAGATGCAGCATACACGTGCAACTTAGGTTCGTTTCACCTCTGGCTTCATTAAAAACATTATATAGCTTATAATACATTCAAGTGTAACATATAACCGACCATCAACCTTTCTTCATCATTTTTTCCAGCTTGAGATGCCGATTCCCCTATCATATTCACATATCCAATAGGCTACATACATTTACATCAACGACTGTTTGTGCTTCACTCGAGCTGGTCGTACGTTTCAGCACCTTGTCAGATTTCCTTGGACAATTATGCTCTTTTTTGGAGCAATGTATGAATAATCGGCGCGTCTCTAAAAAGCAATGGAGAACTGACTAGCTATCGGAAGAACAATACGTCGTTATTGATGCTGTAATTCTGTCAGCCTTAAATGAAAGTTGAATATGAAGGAACGATTTGGATCGACAACACCGCAAATCAGCTGACTGTGACTGCCGTTCTCGGTTGATGGTTCCCTTATTCGATTCAGAATACCCGTCTCTGACGTTGATGTGATCACCAACGAATTCGGCGACGAGTGAATTCCCTCGATTCGGAGCGTCGACCGTGAGCCATGAGCTCGATGTCACCATCGTCGTCGTGATAAGCAACAACAGACGAGAACAAGCGAAGACTTTATATGATCTGATGGTCCGGCAGGTCCATCATCTGCGGCTGCATTCGATCCGCGATACGTTAGCCTGCTATTTACTATTATAATACGAGGCGGCTCCGCGTCTTCACCCGCCTTGTGGCCACCTCTCGCCAGTCCCTTTCTCTTCTCTTTGATCATTACTGTGTATCACATAACTTGACCGCACGGGAACAACGGACAAGCATCGGCCAGCCACTCACTGGCGATGAGACAGCAGGCCGTTCAACGTCTTCAGCGGGATGTGTTCGCGGCTGTTTACAAAGGCCAGCTTTTGTATCTGTTCGCTGGTACGTCCAAGTGTCAGAAGCACTTGCGACACTGCTCTTGTCCTTTGACTAGCCATCTCTCCTTCAGCCAAATCAACCCCCCCCCCCCCCCCCCCCCCCCCAGAGATGCCGTAAGTATAGTATCGTTATAACAACAACAACGGCAACAATAGTGAAAATAATAATAACATGAGCGAAAATAGAAATACGAAAGAAAAGTATAGAAGTGTGATACGGTGAACCAGTTGACAGCGGGTACGATTTTGAGCGTTAGGTTTGTCACGTCGACAGCGAGCAGTTTACGACGGCGACGCTATACTGCCTAGAGCGCTGCACGAAGCTATCGGAAACGTTTCGTCGTGCGGTGTGCAGTGTTCGTGCCGGATCAGAACAGCACCAAGCGTCTCGACAACAGCTGAACGATTAATGGTAACAACAATAACAACAACTATAGGTCAAGTCAATGTTATAATTACCAGGTTTGCACAGTGTTACCTATATAGCCAGGTCGGCATTCTTCTTAGACAGAATCTAAGAGTGTGAGCTGGGTTGTGCCCTCTTTTGCCCACTCGACGTCAATTTCGCTGGCGGCTCCGACGCCATGTGCAGCAATAAGGTGCTTTTGCTAAGAAGGGTCGCCATGCCTTTGGGAACTGGGTATTATATCGTCGTTCGGACTGCTGATCGGCATAGTGGTTTCAGCTCGCGCGCTGATCGCGGCGACGCTGTGGCGGGACGACAACAGAAAACGTTGTATTTTTTTTAACGCGCGGCCGTTTTCTTTGAATTAGCGGTCAGCATCTCGACATTAGCAACGAGTGAGGTAACATTTCGATCTGCTCTGTCATTTTTGGTGTCTATCGCTGGTCTACGGGCCGGTTCGTCTGAGCACATGTGCCTGAATTGCGGCAACGTCTTCGAACTATCAAAGATCTGGTAAAATATGATTAAATAAAAACACAGACTATCAGGCAGTCTACAGTAAGGTGTTTTTCTTTGCTGATAACAAACGCAAACCGACGAAATATACCGAGCACCTATACCACTGCAAGTAGCGTCGCCAGCGCACAAACGCAACGCTTAATGTATGCACATTATATAAACGACATAACATTATGACTTCGAAATGTATAGAGCTCTTGCCGAGCGCTATCAATAAAACGGTAACTAGGAATTAATGGTGAACGCAGAAGCTGTTTACCTACAATTGCTAGCTGGACATAGAATATATATAGAAGATATAGCAACTTCTGTTCAAAAAAACATGTAGCGATGATATATCGTACATTCCAGGCTCATACCACACGAGGAGTAGACAAATCTAGTGCTATAGAAATGATAACGTCGCTTTTCGCGATAATTCCATTCTCTAAGGCGTTGCTCGTATTACAAAGAACCGCAATCCTTCCCCTAGTACAAGCTAGAATCAATAAAAGTGGTGCAAACACGTAGGCGTCCGAACAACAAAAGGCCCTATCAAATATATATTTCGAGTGAGGAAGATAG